CGTGCGTGCGTGCGTGCGTGCGTGCGTGCGTGCGTGCGTGCGTGTGTACGTGCGTGCGTGTGTGCGTGCGTGTGTGACCCCATGCATGGTCATCCACGTAGTGTCGGCCTGATTTAAATTCTGTAGATGTACTCATTACGTAACATCTAATGTTTGGCATTGTAGATGTGTTAACCAGGCTGAGGTGGTTAGCCTAGGTGGCTGTGCATAGAAAGTGTGTATAACACAAGATGGTTCTTTGCAAGTGCATTTTGCTTATTAACCTAGCATAGTGCATGATGCCGGAGTGAAAAATTATTAGTAATTTTTGACTGAAATTAACCATATTTTTGCAAGAATGTTGTATTTAAGCCCCCCCCCCCCCGTGTGTGCTTGCTACAGTAGCATGTAGGAGCACAGTGAGCTCTGTGCCTTAAAGCTTTATTGTTTATCGATCTGCTGTGACAGATTTCTTACAGGTGGCAAAAGCTGAGTAAGCTCGTTCATTGCTTCACTGCTGCCCTCTATATCGTGTATATCAAAAGAGCATCGTGGCATTACAGTTGGGTAATGACGTATTACCCCGCGCGAGTGCTGTTCGGATGTTGTTTTCGGTATCCGCTTCGTCGCTTGCTTGCTCGTCTCTCTCGCTATCGTCGCAGGCCGTTATTTCGCCGCTTGTTTTATTTTCCATGTGGTTTGCTCGTGCATGGTCGACGCGACCTTCACGCGACCTCTGCTGACGCACTTGTCTGCCGCACCGTGTACGTATGAGCGCGCTTACCCGCCGACGTTATAGCACATACTCGCCTGTTAACCACCGCCTAGCTCGCCTTTCCTTCTCCCCAGAAAGCTTAACTGAAGTCCAGTCAGCACCGCCCAGTCTCCTAGCTTTTCTTTCCCTCTCACCAGAAAGCTTAAATAACATGCCTTTCCGAAAAACCCACCCTTCCTGTGACCCATCCGCTCTCCTCACCAACCCCCTACCCTCACCTCACCAACCCCCTCCCTCCCTCTCTGCTCTCCTCACCAAACCCCTACCCTCACCTCACCAACCCCCTCCCTCCCTTTCCGCTCTCCTCACCAACCCCCTCTCCTCACCTCACCAACCCCCTCCCTCCCTCTCCGCTCTCCTCACCAACCCCCTACCCTGCAAACACCCCCTCTCCCTCAGCAGGCGATATGGTTGACATTCCTTTACCGGAACACCTTCGCTGCAGAGACCCATCCCTTGCTGAAAGCTCATACCCTGATGTCCCCCAACGCTCGCTTTCTCACGCTATTCACACGCAGGATTCTATGCGCTTACTTGTGCTTTGCCTAATACTGCTCCTTCTCCTCCTCCTCTTCCTCCTCCTCCTCCTCCACATCCTCCTCCTCCTCCTCCTCCTCCTTCTCCGCTTCCTCCAACGTCTCCTCCTCCTTCTCCTCCTTCTCCTCTTCCTCCAACGTCTCCTCCTCCTTTCCCCCTCCTCCTCCCCCACCTCTTCCACCATGCTATTCTGTTCTCCCAGACTTGTGTCTGGCCTTCATAGTGACGGTGACAGTAGAGCATGAGGTAGCACAGGGAGATATCGCGTTGTTGTTGTTGTTGTCGTTCACCTGAGTGCGTTCGTTTCGGTCTGGTTGCGATGGAAAGACGACATTTTTCTGTGTGCCGTCGTCATGGTAACGGTGAGTGGCGATGTCCATTGCAATGGTGTATTGCGGTGTCCATTGCAACGGTGCATTGCGGTGTCCATTGCAACTGAGCATTGCGGTATCCATTGCAATGGTGCATTGTGGATTTTGCAGTGGCGAATTTGCAGACGTAGTTTGAAAAGTTCGATTCAGGAGATTGTTAAAGAGATTAAATCGATTAATGACGATATAATAAAATCATTAAAAAGAAGATTAACTTGGATAATGGTGCGATTGCCGCATCAACGCGTGAACAACACTGAAGCCTAACGAAGGAGTAAGTTACAACGTGATAATCACAATTGCCTCGAAAACCTTTTGTTAACGGCGACGCGTGCATTCCGCGTAGTCGCACTCTGCGATCGTCGCAGGTAGGGGGCGCTGGCAACGCCACCACTCCCGGCATCGCTCGCGTCGAAATTGCAATCGCGAAAAACATCGGCGCGCAATAATTGCCGCCCGCGCCGCAGAACAAGCGAGCATTCGCGCAAGCAGGGATGCTCACTTGTCCCTCTCTCTCTCTCGCTCTCCGCCGCGCCCGCGTCGCGCGACAACAGTGGATGTAGATGCTGAACATCAGAACCCGCACATCGAGGCGTACGGAACAATGGGACCCGACCACCAGCGCAAGCACAGCAAGCAGAAGGGAATCATGAAGCTATTCGGCAGGTAGGTGGCGCCATGCATCCCATCGCTCGACGACCTCGCTCGTTGGCATTGCGCGATGCGACGCGGGAGTCGTGCAGTAATGGCGAGCGCGCGTTTATCGCGACGACACGGATTATCGCGGATAACGCGCCATCTTGCCCGGCTACTAATGACTAGTGTGTGAGGTTTTTGGCAGCTTTCGCTAATTAATAATATTAATTAATAATATTAGGTGGTGAATGATGACAAATTGTCATTATTCACCCTTGATGGTATCAAATAAAGTAATTGTCAATTACTCGCCTGCTTTCGAATCGAAATCGGTCGAAATAGTGTCGAGCTCCGCTGTGAGTTTGTTTTCGGTGAAGCCGGGGGGTTCTTGCTGCTGCCGGCTCATGATCGCATGCTGCAGTGTGTTGTGACTGCGTGTTGTGGGTGGGGCGGGGGAGGGAAGATGTGGGTGCACGTTGCCACGGGTTACATATCCCAGCTTCCGCCGTTCGATCCTTGCCCTGGCCGTGTACTTTGCGATATTGTCCTCCTCATCTCCCTCTCCCTTTTCGCTCCTCCTGCTACACCTTTCTTCGTTGCGCCCTCTTTCTGCACCATCCCCCTCCTCCCTTTTTCTCTCTACCCAACTCCCCCTCTCCCAACTCCCCCTCTTTCTCTCTACCCTACCCCTCT